CACACACACACACACACACACACACACACACACACACACACACACACACAAATACACACTCCAAGGGGTAGGGAAAAGAGCAGGTAGGAAGAGAAGGAGGCAAGAGAAGCGAAAAAGAAATGAGTCAGGCATGGTAGTACATGCCTGTAATTCCAGCACTAAGGTGGAGGTGGGAGAATCAAGAGCTCAAGGTCACCACACCAAGTCTAAGTCCAACCTGGCTATAGGAGACTGTCTCCCCAGAAAGAAAGGGAGATGGCTATTACTAGGCCCCATACTATAGTCTGTTTATCACTCCAGTCATACTGCTGCTAAGAACCAAGGAATCAATACAATTATTACCAATTTCTTTTAAATGTTTTAAGGTTATCAACATAGTTAGAAGATATATCAGGGCTGGAGAAATGGCTCAGGGGTTAAGAGCACTGGCTGTTCTTCCAGAGGACCCGGGGTTCAATTCCCAGCACCCACATGGTAGCTCACAACTGTCTGTAACTCCAGTTCTAGGGTATCTGACACTGTAGTGGGTAGCCATTCCAGCTTGGATCTGGAAGTTCCAACCCCCATTGAGACTCTGGCAACTGTCACGCCTACGAGGCGGGGCGAGGGGAGGCGCCTGGAGACCGGAGAGCTGGATGGGCCAGCGCTCTCTCTGTGCGCTCGCTCTGTGCCTGGACGCTGAATGGTTAAGGTGGACTGTGCAGAGCTCCGGAGAACACCGCTGGACTGCGATACACCTTCCCCAGACCCTGCGACCTACCTTTCACTTAATTTGTGAGTTACGCCATTAAATAAATATCCTTTTAACTACGTGGAGTGGCCAAAATAATTTCTCCAATATGACACTCTCACACCAATGCACATAAAATTAAGTTAAATAATTTTTTTAAAAAAAGAAGATACAACAATATATCAATGAATTTTTGTAACAGCACCTCTGATCAGAAGGTTAAAGAAAAAGCTACCTATAAAGAGAAAATTAAAAGATTTTGTATAGCCACCCTCAAACCACATAAAGGTCTTATGAACTTAAAAAAAGAAACATATTAAAACTAAACTCCTAACATCATAATGATAAAAAAGAAACTGCCTGAAAAAACTATAGCTTATTTTTTTCAACTATGTACTACCACAATCTATTTATATTCCTAACAATACCAAAATTATACTATCACCTAATGCCTTTGTTCAAGTTGAGGACATGATATGTTTAAGTACCTGCTTGAATTATAGAATTCTGTTTGCCATATTAATTACCTATTGGAAGGAGGTGGTTGCTGAACCTGAGGCCCACGTGTAGCTTGAGTAACAGGTACTTTAGAGAGCGCCAGCATTTCCTATAAAAAGATAATTTCAGTGAGATCACAATATTTGTCAACTTCTTAAGATATTCAAGGTGCTCTGCTACAAATTAGGAACACAAAATGAGCATAAGGTCTCTTTTCCGCAGAAAGCAAACAGTCGAGCTGTGGAAACTGAGCTCTCTCAGTAGCAATTCACCAGGAGAGAGCAAATACAAGGTCTGATGGAGTGAAAAGGATGCTAATTTAGAAGTACTTCTTATCTAATGCAGTCAAAATGCATTAATGATTAACTTAAATGTCTTTCTTCTTAGCTTATATGCATTCATCCTTTTCAGCAACTATTGCCTTAAACACCTACTCTGTAGCAGGAATACAGTGGTTTAAAAAAATACTCACTGCTCACATGGTAGTTAAAATCTAGAAGAAAGGAATGAAGTTATCTAATAAAGCAGTGTAAAATCATAACTGCAGCACTATGAAGCAGTACATCAAGGACTGGAGAGATGGCTCAGCTGTTCAGAGGCTTGCAGCTCTTGCAGAAGACCAGGGTTTGACCCAGCACCTCTATCAGGTGGCCCACATATTAGCCTACCAGCTGTTATCAGCCTATAACTCTAGGAAATCCAATGCCTCCTTCTACCTCTGCAAATACCTGCACTCAGGTGCCTACACACACACACACACACATACACACACACACACACACACACACACTTTTTTTTTAAAATAAAAAAGTCTTTTTTTAGTCGGGCAGTGGTGGCTTATGCCTTTAATCCTAGCACTTGGGAAGCAGAGGCAGATGGATCACTGTGAGTTTGAAACCAGCCTGGTCTACAGAGCAAGTTCCAGAACGGGCTCCAAAACTACACAGAGAAACTCTGTCTCAAACAAACAAACAAAAAAAATCTGGGTGTAATGGTGTAATTTGTAATCTACTACTTGAGTGATAGAGACTGGCAGATGGTACATGAGGCTTAAAGGCCACCCAGCCTCACCTAATCATCAAGCTCCAGGCCAATGAGAGAGCCTGTCTCAAAAATAAACAAAAGACAAAAATAAAGTAGAGTATG